TTTCATGTCGCGCCGCTTTTATTCCTGCCCTTCCCTTGGCCTGGTGCAGCTGCTGGGGAGCTCTGCCTTTGCGGGGTGGGAGAAGAGATGCTTGTGGGAGGGCAGCCAGTCACCCTGGGTGCTGCCTGGGGGGTAAAGGAAAGGAGGTCGTGCCGGCCTCCCTGCAGCAGAGCTGTGAATCTCTGCAGTACGGAGTACCCAGGCAAGCGCTTTCCCCATTTATCATAGAAGAGGACCTGCTGCCCATTGCAGGGAAACTGAGCCCAAGGTCGTGTCTCCAGAGACCAGGCGCAGCAGCTGTTTCCCAATTTCAGACCTGGCCCTCGATCTCTCGCGCCTCTCCCCTCCGTTCGGTACATGCCGCAGGTGACCCCAGAGCTCCTCTCTGTGCCGAGCAAATCTGCTGCCCAAACTAGTCAGAGGCCTCGCTTCCTACCCAGGAGGGGCTCTAGTATCAGCATCCTGCTGCTTTTCTGGACAGGCCACTCTTCTGTGCCTTAACTGCGATGATAAACCGCTGTAAAGGGTAGTTATTCTTGTGCGTAGGGTCCTATCCTGGCTCAGTGGCCAAATTCCTAACTTGAAGTCTGCAGCCAGGCTCCGGGTGACTTTGTGGGTGGCAGGTGTTGGCTAAGCTGGCTGGTGTTGCCCTGTGCTGTTGGTGTGGTGAATCGGAGCTCCTGCCGGTACTGCGTCCGGGGCCTCATCCAGGGCAGAGCCTTGCCTGGGGCTAAGGGATGGGTGAGCTGGGGGTGCGCAGCCAGCTCCTTGAGTTGTGCTTGTTTCTGTGGTGCCGCGTGAATCTTCCCATAGCAAACGGAGAGGTTGAAGAGCTCCAAATCGCTTCTGCTTCTGTGACGTGCATGACATGCTTGGTCTGGCTGTCAACATCGCAGAAACCAGGATCCTTTACCACACCAACCTGCTGCTCCTCCACGCACTGCAGTTGACAAGGCAGTCCTTGGAGAGTGCGGAGCATTTCCCCCACCTGGATAGCCACCTTTCCCAAAAAGTAAACTTAAACAATGTTATTCAATACTAGATAAAATCTGCTAGTGCTGCCTTTGGATGTCTCCAAAATCATTTCTTTGAGCTTGATATCATGACCCCAGTCCAACTTCTCATCCACCAGTCTGTTGGCATCCCTACCTTGTTGCCGAAGGGTGAAACTTGGACTACATGTTGGAAACTCCTGAAAGCTTTGGAACGACGTCTTCAGAAAATCCTCCAAATCAACTGGAAGGACAGAAGAACAAGTGCCAGGATTCGGGCTCAAGCCAAATCGGTCATCTTCAAAGGCATGTTGAGGTAGCATTCACTTTGTTGGATAGGACATTTCATAAGGATGCCAGAAGAGAGTTCCCCGGACTTTTCTCTTATAGTCTGGAGAAGAGGAGACTGAGAAGGGATTGAATAGCATCCTTCAACTACCTGTCTAAAAGAGGATGGAGCTGGACTGGTCTCAGTGGGGGCAGATGACAGGACAAGGAGCAATGGGCCCAAGTTGCAGCAAGAGAAGTTGAGGCTGAATATTAGGAAAAACTTTACAAGGAGGGTGGTGAAGCACTGGGACAGGCTCCACAGAGAGGTGGTGGGGGAGTCTCCATCCTTGGAGGTTTTGAAGACCCGGCTAGACAAAGCCTTAGCTGGGATGATGGGGCTGGGGCTGGGGCTGCTTGGAGCAGGGGGTTGGACTGGATGTGACCTCCTGAGATCCCTTCAACCTGAATTTTCTGATTCTATGATGCCTGACACCTGACTACGAAAACAGGTCCTATACTCCCAGCTCACCAATGGGCACCACTGCAGAGGTGGGCAAAAGAGATGCGATGACGCCTGGAAGACCCATCTGAAGAAAAGTGACGTTAACATCCGAAACTCGAGCACTGAACTGTCCCCACGATGTAGGACGAGGCATTGATCATGGAGATGAAGCTCCCCTCGCCATGGAGGCTAATCGATTAGGTCAGAGAGACAAAGGGAAAGCACCAGGATTTACTCTTCCTCCTGGGACGATCTGCCACATCTGCCATTGAACATGCAGATCTTGGGCAGGCCTCCTCTGCGGTCTGCAGACTCCCCGAGGACTTGCTTGTTTACTGGAAGCCTGTCCTTGCATCAAGGGATGGCCGACCATCCCTGTTCCCCGTTGGCCCACTTCCCACCGCCTTGAGCCTTGAAGAATTGCATCTCTGCTGTCACCCCTCTGTGTCTGGTCCTCTTGCGAGATGAAGGCAATCCAAAGAGGAGCTGAAATGCTGTTTCCTTGCCCAGCGTGGGCTTTTTCTCTTGCATTGGAAAAATTAGCCAAATGTGCGTTATCAAAAGAAGAGCAGAGACTTGCACTCATAGCTCTCCAGATGGCCTCAGCTAGGCGAGGCAAAACCGAAACCTGAACTTGGGACAGGACAGGCAGAAAAAGGAAAATCCAGTGTTGCTTTCTTTAAAAATAGCCCGATTTCCACATATTTGATATGTTTGGCTATTTAAATAAGCCTTGAATGTCATCTGTAAGGTCTGCAGTTCTGCTGTCTACTTTTATGGGGTCCAAGATAAGATTTATGCCCACTCTGCAGGTAGGTCCCGAACGAGTACTTCCTTTGGAGCATGCAGTGTAGACAAGGAACGAATGGGTCATGTTTGAGTTTTATCTGCACGTCTTCACAGCTGTTTGGAGCCTTCTTCAAGGGAAGAGGCAATTGTTGTGCTGGCATGGAGAGGAAGATGAAAGAAAACAGGAGCTGGAAATCCTGTGGAGTGAGCTGGACCCGACCAGATGCTGGCCGTCAGCAGCCCCCATTGGGCTCCAAGCGATGGGGCCGCGTGCCCTGGATTTGGGAACCATCCCTTTTTTGTAGGTGCTTGTTTCCACTCTGACTTCGGCCCGTGCTGAGGCGCGTGGCTGCAGGCTGGCCGGGTCCTTCCCACCTGGCCAGCATCGCCCTCTGGTTTTGGCGTGTGGGAGCCCGGCGTGTGCTGTAACAAGGGCCTCTGCCCCCGCTGCAGTCGCAGCCTGGCGCTTTGGGGAGGGGGAATTAAACAGAGGAGACGGAGAAACCGATTCATTTTGTACGCGCCTATTGACTGCTTCAAGCTGCTAAATATTCAGCACGACTCGCTCGTGACCTATATTCAGCGTAATTGCTTTTATTGCAGGGTAAGTATCAGCGATGTCAGTGCCAGCACCAAACACCCGGCTCTCCTCGCCGCGCCGCATTGTTCCAGAGGTAATTAGGGAGGCAGGGGACTAACAGAGGTGCGGTAGGTCTTGGCGCTTCCCGAGCTGTCCCCTCGTTCGGGGCTTCCCCTCGGGGGACACGCACAGCTCAGATTCTCCTGCAAACGGTGTGTCACTATAGCACGGGACCTGGCGCCGATACAACAGCAGTCAGTCCCGGTGGCTCGGCACTCACTGCAGAAAACACCTTTTATCCCAGAGCTGCAAGGGGCTGCCCACACCATCACGTCCCTGGGAGCCAAGTCGGGAATGTGGGCGGAGAAGCAGAGAGGAGAAGGGACTTGCCCAGGGCTCTCTGGTGAGTCAGTGGCAGAGCAGTGGGTAGACCTCAGGGGGTCAGAGAGCCTTGGCTGCAGGGTCTGTTCTGCTCCGGGGTCATTTGCAGGCCAGAGAAGCCCCTCTTGATTCCTTCTTCTCTGCCCTCTTCCTCTGGCAGCTCCTTGGCCTTTGCATGGGTGGCCTCACTCTCCACGTGTGTTGCGGTCATGGGGTTGTGCAGCAGCCGCTGCTGGTGCGCCCTGGTTCCCGGATGTGCGTCTTGCCCCTGGCATTGTAGTGAAAAGTGCCACCCCCCGCACGAGCTTTCCACCCACCGCGCCGCAGCTCTGTCCTTCCGTCTCCCCTCTTGGTGTTTCTTAATAATTAGCGGCAGATTTCATACTTATGTTTGCAATTATGGAAATGCCTTCGGGACGTGTTCTGCCAGATAATTGAATTTCCTTGGTGTACGAATGCAAAGACATGGGGGGTGACTGCAGGCTGGACCCAGCAACTGTATTGCTGGCGTTGGGTGTCATGCTAAGATAAATGAGGCATCTTCCTTTTAAAAAACACTCAGAAACAAAGCATTTTGCTTTGCTGTCCTCAGCAGAAGTTGTGCTAGAGGCCCCGATTGGGGGAAATGCATTATTATCAGTAATTAACTCGATGTAAGTTTTCATAACATCCCGATGTTGCTTTCTCTGTCTTTGGTTAATCCTCTGTGCACCGTGCTCAGGGATGTGGGACCCCCTTGCTCTCTAGAAGTGTGCGGGGGCAGTTGGGATGGCTGGGAGGTCTCCTCTGACCGTCTCCCTGGCACGGGCTGGATTGTGCCCTACAGCACTTTGTTGGGATTCATCCAGGTTGCAACCCCCATTTCTCCCGGAGAAGTTCCCCGTAGCCTGGTCTGCTGTGTGCACAGGGAACTTCCCTGGGTTCTCACCTGGCTTCTCCCTCTCAGCAGGAGAAATGCCTGGTCCTGAGATTGTGCTACACCCTCCTGGACCTTCGTGCACAGCCGGTGCACACCCAGCCATGCAGCTCAATCCTTGCCTTCGGGGTCGAAAGCGAAGCCCAGCGTGCGAGGGCAAACTGCCCTCACCTGGTGTCTCTCCAGGGCCAAGGCCTGAATACCGGGGTCTGCCTGCCCCCTCGGTGCTGTGCTGCTCTCGCAGCTGAGTGTCCCGTGGCTTTGGGGGCTCCTGAGGGACCCACCGCAGCTGGGGGCAGAGGGGAGCATTCGTTGCATGTTGTGGCAAGGAGATTGCTGCACCCTCAAGGGGAGTCCTGCGACTCAGGTGCTGTCCAGGGAAGACGTCACCTGTGTGCAGGGTCTTGAGCACCTGGGGGGAAGGGTGAGGTGGGGGGACTGGCTGCATCCTGTCTTGCAGCCTGCGTGGCTTCGTCGTGGCACACAGGGTAAACGAGGGAGACAAACCCACTGTCCCTCTCCCAGGCTGCCTGCGGGGCACGCTCATAATCCTGCTTTTCTCTGTTGCAGCATATGACACTGGGATTTAAAGCACCGCACCCGTGAAAGGAAACCTCCCACCCCAAGTGCCACTCGTGAGAGTAAGTGTGAACCCAGCCGGCTTCCCAGTGCTCCCCGGGGTGCAGACTTTGGGGAAATCTGTCCCGTTGGCCTGCCAGGTGGAGGATGCAAGGGCCTGGCAGCTCTTTGTCCCCCATCCTCAGAACAGGGGGTGGGTGCAATGCGCTGCATCCAGCCCCAGAGCACAGGTGGGTCTGGAAAGAGGCCTGGGCAGCCCCGTGGAGGCTCGGCCAGGCTCCTCTAGCTGAAGAAGTGCCTATCTCCGGATTTGCACTCATGCAGCTCTATCAGCACAGGAAACCCCCAGGCTTGATGTGAGCCCGCAGCCGGTGCCATGCGGGCTGAGATGGGCTGCTCAGCCCCTAGGAAACAGGATGCTGCATTGCAGCCCTGCTGCTGTGTTCCCTCGTTGCCTGGCTGGCCGGAGGGGAAGGGGCAGGTGCCTGCTGGCGCCGGGATAGACCCTCTTTGCCCTTTCCAGAGCACCCGAGACCGTGGCTAAGCTGCCAGGGAGGGAAGGGGCTTCCCAGTCATGCTCTGCTCGTCTCCCGCAGGACAGTCAGCAATCGGGGCTGGCGTCGTCCCTGCTACGGCCGATCTCTGATGGGTCGGGGCAGCTGCCTGAGCCAGTGTCATGCTTTGTTGCAGGTAATGGAAGAGTTGTCACACCATGCCCAGGACAACATAACCAGAGACTTCAGGAGTGAAGAGAAACAGGTAAGAGAAGCCAACCCACGGCTCGGTGCCCACCTGAGAGCCAGGGGGCATCCCAGTGCCCGCGGAGGAGGGCAATGGGATGGGAGCCAGAACCTTTGCATGCATCCATCCTCCACAGCCCGGACCGTCGTGTGATGCGCGCCTCAATTAGAGCGGTAGATGTCAGAGGAAATGCAGCCAAAGGCATAAAGGGGACAAAGGAACAAAGCCCCTTTTATTCCTTTAACCTGCTGCTGTACTTGAAATGCTCCAGTCCCTGCTCCTTTTCCTGGCGGAGAATAAAAGAGGGCCTCTTCAGCCGAGATGGGCAGGGTGGGGACAGCCCTGCGGTTTTCCCATGATTATTTTCATGGTGGGACACAGCCTGGTATCACCTGCCCTGAGCTGGCGCTTGGCCACTCCAAGGAGTGCAGAGGGGAACAGGGGTGTCCTTCCCACCTCCCCAACCTTGCAAGGGCCTTTCACGTAGTGTAGCGTGGCCCGGGCGCTGTTTGCAATGGCCCGGGCTGCTAGCTCAGCGGAGGACCGTGGGTTGTACCCTCGTGTCCCTGGTGCAGCCCCGAGACGAGGGGGCTGGTGGTGCGGAGCCAGGAAGTCAGGGGCGGCCCTCGGTCACGGTCCATGTCCACCTCTGCGTTGTGGATCGGGGTAAGAGCCCCAGTTGTCTGGAGGACTCCTCGGGGCGCGGAGAGCGAGTGGGACCCTGCCGTCCCCCGGAGGCGGCTGGAAGCCGAGCCTTGGAGGCGTGGGGAGAGGAGGTTTGCTTGTTGGCTTTCCCCAGCTGCAGGGACGCTTGCACACGCTCTGCCTCATGTCCTGCGGGTCCCGGGCAGCTCTCAGCACAAAGGGCCGAGCACGGCGGGGAGTCCCCCCAGGGACCACAATGTGCTTGGGAGGGAAGAGGTGTGATGCAGAGCAATGGAGGTGACTTCTGTAGCGACAGCAGAGATTCATAGTTTCATAGTTTCTAGGGTCAGAAGGGACCTGAGAAGATCATCTAGTCCGACCCCCTGCCATGGCAGGAAAGAGCACTGGGGTCAAACGACCCCAGCAAGGTGTTCATCTAACCTCTTCTTAAAAACCCCCAGGGTAGGAGCC